CGATGGCAATCACCGGGGGGGCGGGGGGAGGGGGGGGGGGCTACTATTGTTGTGCATGCCTTGTAGCGTTGGGCCATTGACCACGCGCCCCAGGACGGAGCATTGTTTCCACAGGACCGATCACAAATAGTCAATCGTTCCTTCCTGCCTTCATAAACAACAAAAAAAACTTTACGTTCGCGGCCAGAAAAAAATCATGACTGCGTGTGTTTGCGATAGTCGTCATCTTTTCAGGCCCCTTATTGCCGTGATCGCCGATGAGCCGGACATTGGAAACCCTTCACAGGCGTTGAGTTTTCATGATGGTCATGATGGTGGTATTTGCAGCAGTCGCACGCTCGCCCTAATAAACTGTTGTTTTGTTGCCCTTTTGGTGAGTACGGTGGTGCGATCGCGGTACAAGAGCGGTGAGTGCTGTGGTGTTGTTCAGCGCGACGACGCTCCCCTGCTCTTGCCTGTTCATTCATCAAAGGATGCCTTCTGTTTCATCAAATTGCCTCTCATTTTATGAGCACACGGTTTTCTCCGAATTCGACGTTGCCCTGCTTTCGTGTGGGTGTTCATGAAAGGACAGGTTTCGTTTCAATTTTTGAAACAAAGCATTTCCATCAAGAACACATTCGAAAGCAAGCGCGTTTAAAAAACAGTATCTGAAAGAAACCGTGTTCTTGAAGAAGCACACAAACAGCAGGGTAACGTCGTCGCGCGAAACACCGCAGCACTCACCGCAATTATAGCGCGAATGCACCACGACCCTCACCATAAGGACAACAACAGCAAATAACAGGGCGAGGAGGGTGCGACTACCGCAATTACCACCATCAAGAGTTGACGCCTGAGGGGGGTTCCATTATCCGACTCATCGTCGTTCACGGCATCACGGGCCCTACAAAGGCCACGGCTATTGAAGGAAACACACGCAAATGAAGAACTCGGGCTGCGGACACACCAGAGCGATACGCGACTACCTGCACCGTCTAATATCCGTACAACTGGTCCAACGGAACGACCACAAAGGCACGGCAGAGCACCGACCGACCGTGCAGGTTCCCACCGTGGCACAACAAAGGACGACGAGACGAAAACCTGTGTATGGAGACTGCTGTTTCGGCTTAGTGTACGACAAAAAAGCAAAGGTACAGCGGCACCGCCCTCTATGGCTTAACAAAGGATGAAGAAACAAAACACCTAATGTATTAAAAGACTGCCGTTTCTCCTTGAGTGTACGAGCTTCCGGTTTAGCGGTTCGTTCCTTTCCTAATTCGCGGGATGCCCTGAGTAGCGGTTCCAGTTCTCGTGGCACGGCTGCACCTGGGTAGTCAAAACTATCATCCCATACCATAGAACTCTCAATCCGGTATAGCGGTGATTTAGCAGGATGCCCAGAATAACGGTTCCACCTCTCGTGGCACGTCTGCCCCTCGGTAGTCAAAACAACCATACCATATAACTGCCAATCCGGTGTGGCGGCGATGCCCTCAACAGCGGTTACAGTTTACCACATTTTGTGATACTATTGACCGCAAAAACCGGGGCAACGACTACTGTGCGACAAAAAGAAAAAACGCTAGACCGACCAACCGACCTTGCAGGTTCCCGGTTCTGATTCGTCGGCGTTCACGACAAGGAAGGACGGCCGGCCATCGGTGTTCTTGGGCATGAAGGACCACTTTAGGCCAGAAGGGAACCCGGCGCCGCCCCTACCCCTGAGGCCCGAATCCTTGATTTCCTGCACGATCCAATCGGGACCCATCCACATGATTTCCTTCGTCTGGTACCTGCGCAGACCAACCAACACGACAACAGGCCCGCATTTAAGGAATGGCATTTCGTTAAGAAACAGAGGTTTACATGTTCACGAAAAAACAAGTTTTTTTTCTTGAAAAACACCTGTAGCTCAGCGGTGACTACTACACCAAACTCAATGTATACTAGCCCGTGCTCGGCAGTGGCGATCAAGTACGTAATGGAAGACTCGACCCGATTTTCACCATATTCCGGTTCTCCGGGCCCGTTCTGTACACAAACATGTTCTCTTTGTTTCCACAGAACATCACAGCTGCTACCCCAGAACATTTGACATTTTTTCGCATGTGCGGCACAAGAGAATCAAGGCTGCAGAAAACTTGCTTGCATCGATCAACACGTAAGTATTGAGTCGAGGCACCCAAAGCCCGTCTACGAACCGTAGGCTGTGGCTCGGACCAACGCACCGGTGAAGGTCTTCTTATACCCCACCGACGTCGGCACCAGAGACAACTTTCGATGTCAACCAAGTCGGGCCGATGATCATTAGAGACAGCAGTGCTTCTGGCATAGGATCACCTTCGCGAGAAAAAAAGTTGATGAGGAAATAGAACAGCGAGGAGGGACGCAGCCCCTATCCCTAACGCTCAACCACCTTCCCCGATTGCATGCCTTATCCAACATGTTTACTCACTTCATAGAAAAGGTTGCGAAGACTGCTTTTTTGTTGTTGTTGGTCTTCACTTTAAATCAGCGCTCACAGCAATTGTGCTGTCTAGTCCAACCTGTGGTCACACAGAAGGCTTTCTCTCCCTGAGGGCCTGTACCCACCCCTCCTGCGGTGCTTTGCCTTCGCCTCATGATGCCAAAGAGAGTGCAGGATTCTCATCCCTCCCGTGTACACACGAAAATAATAGCGCTTTCCACCCTGGCCAGGAACGCAAGCGACTACTGCTGGCATACCATCGGAACCTCCCATTTCAAGCTCGACATAGCCACCAACATGCCGCTGCGCTACTCACCAGTCTCCACGCTTCAAGGCATCTCCCACTCGCCAGTCCTGCTCCCCGTACAGGTTGGTGAAAATTCGGTCCTGGTCCTTGAGCCCGCCGTACACGCGGGGCGGCTCAGGTACCTCCTCTTTCGCGCCGGGGGCGGCGCTCAGGGATCGCCTGCCGACGTTTCAGAGGGGGGGGGCATACTCTCTTAGGTTTTGCATGCCTTAGCGGTTAGACCATTGAAGGGGGGCGTACTCTGGTGTTTTGCATGCCTGAGCAGTCAGACAATTGACGAGAGGACGGGGCTTTGTTCCCAGCGGACGGATGGCCAATTGTTCCATGCAGGGAGGGGGAGACAACGGTTTACCACGTTGGCAAGTTTTGACGCAAGGGAGGGTGTCGTGTAGGTTGTCAGCGGTGCTCAGCGATCACCTCGCAACATCTCAGAGGGTCAGGGGGCAGAAGAAAACGGTACCATGTTGGAACATATCTACCATAGATGCTGTCATGTTAACGCTCTCATGTTGGGGTAGTGTGAAGTGCGATATGGGTTATCAGCGATGCTCAGTGAGCGCCTGCCGTCACGCAGAAAGACGGGTGGCGAAGTCTACGGTGCCATGGAACTCTGGTGTTGAGTTCTCTGACTTAAGAGTGCTTAGAAGAGTGCTTCGAACTCTTCTGTCACGGCGGCATGTACGGCTATCGATCGCACAACATACGCATCACACGGCCTTGATTTGTTATTACCGCTCCAGGCGGTGCGGACTTCTCCTGCCTCCGTTCGCATGAGCTGTTCCGTGTGTTTGAAATTGGAAAGTGAGGCCGCTAAGCAAAACCTTGCGTTGCTGTCGTCCATCAGGTGCTTCTTTCTCAACACATGCATGTGCGCATGGTATTCATGGCATCAACTACTTGGGGGCGCTTCGCAGGATTTAATGGGGGTGCTCCCTCGAGAGCATGGCGCCAACGTGTATGTAGGAACATGATGAGGCTTGTCTGAAATCCTGCCGCGTTTTGAAACCGACACAACAACCGGCGAACAATGTCAACAACAACAACAACAAAAAAAAAATGTACCTATACAGTCATTTTGTGAGTAGCACCAACTAGCATCACTGATCGAAAATTTCAGTGTATACGCTTACGTAGACTCCACATAAGCCCAGTACCCAGCCGGTTTCCCTTCATTCAACACAGTTGTGAAGACTTCAACACATCCCGTTCGACTGTGGTCTTATCTCGAATGGGTAGTCTTTCTGTATTCGCGTTTATGTTATCGAACAATAGCAGCATCAGCACCAGTAGCAGCAGCATGGGTGTGCAAGGCACATGCCGCCGTTCTACATACAGCAGCACGGAAGGGGACACGACTCCCGCTTGCCTTGGACAAAGAAAGGCTTCAAGACATTGGTGTGCGCCGCCACGGCCAATCACCTTCGGCTCATGCCTCCGTAGGAACGAACGCTTATATCCCTCATGTTCACGTTTTCTTTCCAGTCAGGAGAAAGAGGGAGGGGAGCGAGAGAAAATGCAACCGTGCAGAAACCTGGTGCCGGTTGTACCAGTAAGTGGCGCAAACAGCGCGAATAGCAGTAGCGGTGTTTACAAGCTTGATTCCGGTAATGATATCAAAAGCTACATGCTTGGTCACTCTAAGTGCTGCACAACAGCAACGCACCAATAAACCATGTATACGCAGCAGTGGGCGTTGGCTGTTTCAGCTCGCGACAATAGTCCAAGGGTGTTGTTTCTCGTCCAGACAAGCGTATTTGTCACAACATTGGTCAGGTTCTCAGGGGAGGCAAATGGCGGTGGAATCACAACTACCACCAGCTTTGATTAGCCCTGACGAAAGGAAGCTGTACTGCAGGATCATCGTCCGTAGGCAGCTTTGCACACGAGCATGTGTTTACAAAAACAGAGGTAAGCAGTGCACTGCTGCGCTACTCGATTAGGGCGGGCAGCTCCAGGTCCGCGATGACGGACTGTCGACAAGCCGGAAGGGGCTCCTCCCTCAACAGCAGCACAGAGTAGCTTCACATGACGCAGTGGGTTCTCTAACTCAGAGACCGCCGCCGAGCTCATCACACACACGGGCTGAATCAGCAGCAGGAATTACTCTGCCAGGACTAGAATGAAGCAGAGATTGCACAGAAAGCCAACACTGTAGCTCGGGCGGTACGTCAACACGCCCTACTGAACTATCGGAAGTAAGTGGAATCAATCGACTCACCCAAGAACTGCCGCGCTCCGGCCAACTGCCCTCGCCGAAGCTCCCTTGGCCGAAGCGGTCGCGGCTGCTGCGCGGGCCGCCGCCTTGTACATCGTTTTCGGTCCTCTCGTCCAAAATGAGACGCGGGGGCAGGCGAATCCGAACGCCGGAGACAATCAGGCAGGCACAGTCTCACCGCCCCACTCACTTTGCACAAGCCCTCGCTACTTGGCCGGTCTCGTGCTAATTGCGCGGCGTCGTTGTATTGTATTGCTAGGGGGGTCGCCGGCTGGTATGACGTGTGAAGATAGGGGAGGTTGGAGCACCATGAATCATGTTGGTGGGCCAGGAGGGCGGGGTGACAAAACTGGCAGACACAGCGAGGGAGCTTTCACAGCGAATAAAGGGAAACTTGAGAGTGTAGCAGCGCAGACGTCATTGCGTTGGTGGGAGAGGACGCCAGTCGGGATTCACTGAGGGGATCGTCGCATCTCTCGGCGAACAGGTGAGGAATCCTATCAGCAGCGTCTGAATCAGCTCATCAGCTCTTCTCGACACTGGAGGGAGAGATTACCCGAGGCGCGGTATTTATATGATAGTCTGTCGAAAATATAACTTCGATGGTCGGGCCATCACTCATCGCGTGCATCAAGGCAGTGATCCTGCTGTTGAGCGCGTATTTCGGTGTAGTCGCTGCTTCCACGGGCCGAAAACATGCGGAACAGGGCCGACACTTGCTGCCTCTCTCGAGCCTGCCGCTATGGCCCCACCCTGTTTTGGTTCCAGGGGCAAACAACCGGCGAAGAGAGGAATGGGGGTTAAGATAATATTTTTTTTTTGAGTTCTCCTGCGTGATGTTCGATGTTTGTGGGCCTTTGTCCGCTGTGGTGGGTCGGACGGCTCACGCAAGCTCAGGTGCCGCGTTGCGTGGCAGGCACTACTATGAACCTACCAGCCTTCGCGTACTAAAGCTCCGTCTCACTCCACAGCGGTTGCCGCGAGCATTTTCCTTTCAGCTGATAGAATCGAGACACATCAAATGGGGGGTGGGTGGGAAGGAAGGTGGGACTTGGGCCGGGATGCAACGGGAAATACGACAAGAATCTCATAAATCTCTCTATGAAGTAGCGCTTTGAAAGGAATTTTAGATTTACCCTTGGGGATCGAGAGGTTCTGAAAAAGAAACTCCACCTTCCGTCGCACCAGCAGGATTATCATACTTTGCTGCTGACACGACTCTGCTGTTCGCGCAGGGAAGGAAAGGAAGCACGGGCGCGGGGCACTCAGTTTGGCCCGTGTTCGTTGCCAGATTGTGCCTTTTTCGGTGGGGAGACCAATGTTGCGCCCCCACTGATGATGGAATCAAAACCGTTTTTTTGTAATCAATTTCCTCGTTTATTCATTTCATGTGACGGGGAGGAAACCGAGCTTGTTTACCACTCTCGTTAGGGTCACTGCCTACTCAAGACGTTACGGGTGACCTCTTTTATCCCCCTCGAGGCATGGAACGCGTCTACTGAGCGCACCAACATGCTGCCTGTGACCCGGTGATAATGCGAAAACGGCCGCTCGTAAGATCTGTTTCTTCTGACCGATATCTGAAAATATCTGAGCCATCTCAACGTACAGAAAAACGGTTGCGGAAAGCCGCAGATGCGGCGGCTAGTAGTCCCCCCTGTGCTATGCCGATGAACATGCCGCACACGCTGCGCCCGCCCTATGGCAAAAGGCAGGAGGTTGCTTCCGACGACCACCGCGTGGCGCCTCGGTCTCACAAGAGTCCCGTCCGAGGTCCCGCGGACGCTCTATTTTTGTTTCATATGATCATGGTCTTGCAGAAATACTGCTGTGAAGAAGAAACGAGAAGTACTTCAGTACAACACAGAGGTGGTGGTCGGCATGTGGTATGTCGGTTACCCGCTTCTCGACACACATGGATACGCATGCATGCAGATGTATGGTTTGCATGCCTCGCTGCTGCTGGGCAGATGCAGCAGTGGTACATGTGTCGTATGCAGGGAATTTGGGGGCCTCCTGATGATTTTGTGCGAGGTGCGCGGCATTGCTTCCGCTGTTCAAGCAACGACGGATTTCACGAGCAGACATGCAGCATTCCATGGTAGTATGTACCACGCGTAGTTCTTGGTCGTACATCCCCGATGAGGGAAGGGTACATTGTTACCATGATTTACGGAGAAGTCTTGTTTTTTATGTGCGCCCTGTCGTCACCCAGTTGCTCCTCAATGTAAACTGATTCAAAATAGGCTACCGATGCTGACTGCATTTGGCACTTGGAAATTGTCGAGATGATGCGGTGCAGCCGCTGCTGCCCGTGTGTCTGGTAGTACCGTGCGACGCGTCTGTCACTCCGTTCAACACAGCATCGTGATACTTGTAGGGAAACACGTGCACGATGAAATGTTCAAAACCTTCAAGATTATGTTGTCGTGGGTGTAGGGCGTTCCATGCACCAAGAACGGCGTTCTTGAGCTTGGAAACGGAGGGTCTTTTCTTACCCGTGCAAACACCATTTACCATTTGCAGATGAGGTCAGCGTTACAGCGAACACAATGCCTCTGACTGCTAACCCCCTGTGAGAGTTGCAGTATGAAGCACGTCCTTCGAACCGGAAAACGAGCCTCTTGGTTTGAGTCTCCTCGAGGAGGTAAAAGCACAGCACCCACAGGCTTGCTTGCCCTGGCCGGTGTGTCGGTTGTCGACAGCACGCCTCACCCGCGTGTGCTAGTACCGTTGTGGGGATTGATTAGGTTCCTGATATGTGGAGATCACGACGGTTTCATCTGCCGTCAAGATGTAAGAGCAGCAAAGCGCGTGTTTCCACTGGAGGTGGCATACATTCCAACGTTTATGTGGCGGACGCACGCAGTAGTGTCTACACATTGATAGTAGATCTTTAGGACTAACGCGTTCTGATTGGCCGGGCGTTGTTCGGCGTTGGTTCTGGCGGCCGATTCCTCTCCAGCGTCCTCTCCCCGTTCCGCATTCCGAGCACGCGGCGCGGCCGCATGCCGCCCAGTTCACGGCCGCTAGGCCGTGCTTTGGCCGTGGGTGAGGGTTAGAGTAGATGATGGGTGAGCAACCTAGCCTCGCTCGCGTGAAGGAACTAGCCTTGCTACGTTCAAGATCGGTTAGTCCTTAAGAGTTATTATCAAAGTGTAACCAAGGCTCGACGCACGGCACAGACCGAAGAACAATTGTACGTCTATAGTAGGCTCTTCCACGGACGAGATGGCGAGGGAAGAAAGCAAACGAGAAGAGACGGACCGAGTGGCGCGATACGTGCCGAATTGAATTTCTTTTGGCCACCCCCCCCCCCCCCCCCCCCCCGGGGAGGGCAATTTCGATTTAGATTTTACATAGTATTAGTATGAGGAACTNATATGCTTGTTCGTTAGTGGTCTCCCCACCGTGTGCCGTTCTCTGTTTCTTCTTTCTTGTTTCGTCCTGGTCCCCTTTTGTCCTCGCTTCTTTTCCTTTTTCTGTTTCCTTTTTCTGTTCCTCTGTTTCTCTTTTTTTCTCTTTGTTTTTCTTTTGTCTCTCGTTTTCTGTGCCAGATGGCCTTGTTTCTGCTTGCGTTGTGACGTACCAAGATTGAACCAAGGGGGTGTACCTCTTTCTCTTTGGCCCGTGATGCTGACTCCTAGTCTCAGTTGTTACCTCGCATAGCGCGCAGAGGGAGCGGAGGACTGCAGAATATATGTCGTTGATTTCTACTGACTTGCGGGCCTCCTCGGGGCCAGTTTATTTGAGTGTACCTTTTTAGGGTAAGTTTGTCTGTGACCACGGGAATCGACCGCGTCAAGTGTTGGATCAGTACAGACATACGACGGAACTGGGTAGAGAGATCGGAACGGTTTTCAATGTGAAGACAACACAGGAACACACACACACACACATCTTTGGAGCAATAAGTTCTATGAGCGCAGAGTTCAACCATCCCATATCTCCGCTCGCGTTCTTCGGAGAAGATATGAGGCGATGTCGGGTGCTTAAGAATCGCTTTCGCGCCAGTCGGTGACAATTGTCTTCGAGGCGAACATGTCCTTTCCAAAGGGCCCAAGTGTTCGTCGGTGCGGGTGTGTCTTGTCAAAGCGCTTCGGCTGCAGCCCGTACCTGACGCAGCAATGTTCCTGCACAGCAGCAATGTCTCCACGGCCAACGGCGCAACAAAGAATTGCTTCTGTGTGGCATGGAGTTGACTCGGCGAAAAGCGCCAATGATCATCTTGGCACGTATCACTTCTGCCCACCAGCTCCTGTGTGGCATGATGCCTAGATGTGGAGCTTACCGCAGAAGAGTAAATCGTCACCATGGTACGCTGCCCCTCCGCCCACCTAAGACGGGAGGGGGGAGGGTCAGCGTCGGCATGATTGATTCCTATATTATTGTGTGCGTGCAAGCGGGGGAACTTCGAGGTCTTTGGCCGAGGCGGACTCTTCCAGACTCTTTCCAACTCGCGCCCCCTCCCCCTGCTGCGGGAGCGAGGGTCGACGCTCGAGGCCGACAAGCAGAAGCACCCATCAATAACGCGGTCTTATGGGACAATTCATCCTGAATGCCAAATAGGCAAATTTCCAGCCGATATATGTGATATGTGATATGTGAATCATGTGAATGCAGTGGTGCGGAGAGCCACGTGTGTGTGTACAGGCTTCCCTCCACCGCGCGGTGTGCGCACAATCGCAGAGACACAGCCACTGGGGGCCGTATGGCCATCGTAAAGCCATACCACTTGTCCTTAGAAACCTCTTGACACTAGTTATCGCTACCACACGTGAACTTTGCGTGCGACCGAGCCGTCCTTTTTGAGTCTCGCAACTTTCAACTTTCTGAGTCTAAAGGGCATCCAGACAGCAGCTCCCAACTCCGCAAATGTCAGCCGACACGTGTTCACAGAAACTGATGGATGGCAAATGATCGTCTTGCAGGTATCATATCGAGGTAGGAACGTATTCCCAATTTCCGCTGCATGGAGAACGGGGTAGACTACAATCGTCACCTTCGTAGAAGGAGCTCCTGGGCATACCTTTCGCATAATGTTCCCGCTAGTCATTTCGACGTCTGATCCCCTTCCCTTGGGGACGAAATGTCGGGCGAGGGGAACGCCAACAGGGTGCTCCGCTTTGTTCGCAACAACTTCGTACAAATATGGCCTTGCGAGACCTTCCACGCTCCCGGCACCACCCCGGTGGCGGTAAGGAGCAGTACAGTAGTAGCCTAGGCAGGGTTTTTCGATTTTGTAAACATTGTGAGTATTGCATGCAATTGGTGAAGTTGGGTTAGGGTTAGGGACAGGGTCTGTAGGGGTGGGGCACCCACCGATGAATGTGCGGACCCCCCTCTCGACGTACATACAAGAGCGGTTTTCGTCTACATACCAAGGAGACCTCTCCACACGAATGGACAAGTGCTGTAAATCCGCACGTTCTCCAGGCGGGCATCTTGCCTTCCCCCGATGCACAGGCAAACGTTATGCTCCCCATGTCCCCCCCCCCGCCGCCTCACCGCAACCCTGGACTAAATCGCCCCCTTTCCTTTTACTTGTTTCACCGCCTGCAGCAGGCCTGTGCGGGAGAGGCGGCAGCGGCACGCGAAGAGCGCGGGAGTCGGCCGGGAGCGAGACCGCGCCACCCCGATGATGAAGTGGCCTTGTTGCGCCGCCGCCGCCGCGGCTACAGGCCCGAGCGCGGTGTCCGACACCGCCGCCGGTCGACACCGGCCACGACACGGCTGCCTTAGGAGCGAAAGCACCTGCCGTCGACGAAGACAGCCCTGGGAGGGGCGCGGCTGTAGCCCAGAGGGGGGTGATGCCTCTGCCGGTGCCCCGGCGATGGGGTGGTGGCAGGAGGGCCGGAGACATCATGGCATGGCGAAGGTGGGCGTGGCGTTAGGGGTAGCGCTAGCGGCGGGGTGCTGCGCACCGGCGGCGAGGGCCGCGTCGGCGGGGGCGTCCCACTCGTGCACCGTGCTCGTCGGGGGAACGATCAAGTGCTGGGGGGAGAACTTCTGGGGCCAGGTTGGGCAGAACGACAACCTCGTCAGGGGCAAGAACGCCTCCGACATGGGCGACGACCTCCCCTACGTCCAGCTGGGCATCTTCGAGGCCGACATGGTGGCCTCCGGCAGCGAGTTCAACTGCGCGCGCTCGGTCGACGGGGAGGTCAAGTGCTGGGGGCGGAACACCGCCGGGCAGCTGGGCCTGGGGGACAACGAGACCCGGGGCGGGGTGAACGACGTCTTCGAAATGGGCAACGACCTCCCGGTTGTGGACCTGGGCACCGGGGTGACGGTGGAGAGTATCGGGCTCGCGGGGTCCCACGCCTGCGCCGTGACGCTGATCGGGCTCGTCAAGTGCTGGGGGGAGAACGAGGGGGGTCAGCTCGGGCTCGGGGACAAGCTGGCCAGGGGGAACCTGACAGGCCAGATGGGGGACGACCTGCCCTACGTTGACCTGGGGACCGGGGTCCTGGCGTCGTCGGTGGCGCTGGGAGCGAGGCACACGTGCGCGGTTGTCGATGACGGCGGCGTCAAGTGCTGGGGTAAGAGAAAGTCGTGTGGGGTGGTTGGTGATTTAAGTCAAGTCGCCGGTTTGGCCGCGCCGAAATTCCCGCGGAGTCTCGACTACGGATGTGTAGGCAGATCGGAAGTTGTCTGCGTGAGGTGTGCTCTGGCGTGTTGTGTTGTACTAGGCGGGGCTTGAGCTTGGGTCGTACAGCGCGTTATGTCATTGCCTCTGGAAGGCCCTGCGATGTGGGTGGTTTCTCGCGGAGTTGGGATGGGGCGCTAGGAGTCTGGTTGGGGGGGGTGGTTTGTACCGTGTGTGTGACTTCCTGTGTTCAGCCGTTGGTTGCCCGTGGTGTTGACGGTGTTGTGAAAAACTCTTGCCAGCGCCGATCGTGGGTACGTTGTGCGTTCGTGTGTGCCCGCGGGAAAGCCCAAGAAAGGGATACATGTCGGAAAAGCCCAGAACCTGTTTTTACAGTTGCGCCGCGTTTTTATTCGTTCTCACGTGCTGCCCCAATGCAGGGAACAACGACGGTGGCCAGCTGGGGTACGAAGACACGGCCGCTAGGGGCACTGCTGCCGGCGAGATGGGGGATTCCCTTCCGTTCGTAGACCTTGGTCGCGACCAGAAGGCGGTTTCGGTTGCGGCGGGATTCTTCCACACGTGCGCGCTGCTGTATACCGGCGACATCAAGTGCTGGGGTGAGTTTCGGACGGGGCAGCAGTGTCGCTCGAAAGTGCAAGCATGGCATGACAAGGCATGTGTCGCCCACATCCCGGACATAATTTTCACAGCTCGATTTGCTCCGTCGGCAGCCAGGAGACATGCAATGATAGTAGCTCGGAAAAGGGTCGTTGTTGGAGTCTGGTAACCTGCGTCAGCTCTGTTGTCAGGTAGATGCCCTTGCAAACAGCTACGAAGAAGTATATGTTAACCGGAGGTATGCTGACATCCCGTGAAGCTGGTGCAAGGGTATATCCACCTAGCTTTGTTTCCAAAATTTAATCTTTAGCAGGAGCAATAGGAGGAGGGGGGCGGGGGGGGCGGCGCCGAGAATTATCGCACTCAAAGACGTCACTGGCTTGAACTCCAACTGCTCTGGCGTTGAGTATACCTGCCTCCATAACTGAAAACTATTTTTTATGGCTGACTGACAAACTTGTCTACTTTCCGTGGTGATGCTTGACTTGTTGCCTATTGATCCTCGTGAGCGTGCATGCGTCGCCATGCATACCTTGACAACGAGGAATCAGGTGCATGTTTAAACTAGGTCCGTGGCTGGTCAACGCACTGGTTGAGACCACAAAAGCGCCTGCTGGGAGCTCGTCGGTGCGCCATTTGTTGATTTTTTTTTGCAATTTTTTGCAGGTTTTGGGTCGAACGGTCAGCTTGGTCAGGGCACCAACGAATCCATCGGGACCTCGGCGGGTACCATGGGAGACAACCTCCCGCCTATCGACCTTGGCACCGGCAGCACGGCCATTGCTATGTCCCTTGGAGGGACGCATTCATGCGCAGGTGGGCACCCACGTCTGTCGGGGCCAAGGCAGTTGTGCTGGTGCTGCTCTGCTGCAGAAGGTGTTGTTAGTTATCAGGGCTGCAGTGCAGGTTCAGGCGGGCGGTATTTTATTTGAACGCGTGTGTGTATTGCATTCAAACTCGCAGTTTTTTTGCCGCCGCCGTCGCCGCTGCCGTTGAAGCGACTTTTCGAGAACCATGCAAGATAAAAGATAAAATAACCAGAACAACGGCCATGCCAGAGCGCGAAGGTGGGCATTTTGACGTGTACTGCCGAGACCCAGTGGTGTTTCTTCATGCGTTTCTTTTTTCGCCACTTTTTCTGTTTTTCCTGCGACCTTTCTTGGGGTTGTTCGCTGACGCGATGTTGTGTCGCCGAGTTGACCCAAGCACGCTCCTTCCCCGTCCGACCGTTTCCTTTACGTGGCCCCCCAAACCGCCACCATCTCTTCGCTATAGCTCGCCCCGAAAACGACGACGAAAAAGCGGCCGCCTAAAAATCGCCATCGTCTCTCAACAGACTCGCTTCGAAAAATAATACCACCGCCCACGTGCGTGGCCCCCGAATCCCCATTTTCAGCCAAGTCGCTCCTAAGCGGAAGTACCACGGCCCACAATGACGCGACCTCTCCAACTAAGTCGCTCCGATTGAGTAAATGCCACCGCGCACAAATCGACCTCATGTCCAACTAAACCCTTTTTCGAATACGGAATACTACCGCCCACATGGCCCCTAAATCGCTATCATATCTACCTAAACTCTGTTCGAATACGGAATTCCACCGCCCATAAAAAAATTGACGTCATCCTTCCTCCGAAACCATGAATGCCACGGCCTCCACATCAGTGCTAGACGACTACACGGTGAAGTGCTGGGGCGGCAACAGCGTCGGTACGCTGGGCCTTGGCGACGTCCTCAACCGCGGCGCGGAACCGGGCGAGATGGGAGACAACCTCCCGGCGGTGGACCTGGACTTCGGCACAGGAACCGGAGCGGTGTCCAACGTCTTCGCCGGTAGGTTCCACACTTGCGTGTCCGGCACCGAGGGCGGGCTGGTCTGTTTCGGACTTAACTCCGGGGGTCAGCTCGGGGCCGGCACCGACGAGACCAACATCGGCGATGAACCTGGAGAGGTTGCCGCGCTTTCGTCCGTCAGCCTGGGGACGGACGAGGTGGCGGCGGTCATTGCGGCCCCCGGGGAAGGGTTAGCCTTGAAGACTATTTCGCCGACTCCGGCGCCCACCGCAGAGAGATTGACGACTCCAGTGAGTGAGAGAGACCCAAACTATTACGACACCGGAGTCTTGAGACTACTGTAGGTTGTTGTATGATGTAAGATACCGCCACCCCCTCCCCTTAGGGCCCATTTTCAAAGCTTCAGTACTCTCGACGAAGAGGACTTTGATATCGAAGTATACGTTTTCACTCTCGACTAGGCGGTTCCAACACCGCCCTCTTGCGGCACCGTCACTACTTTCCCTGCCGAGTAATCGAGCTTTGAAGATCGGACCAGGGGGTGTGATATCTTACGTCATGCAACCTACGGCGCAGATCGCCACGAACCAACAAGACACCGATATGTTATGACCACGGGGTCTGAACGAAGAAATCAGACACCAAAATCTGTAGACTACAGGTCTTGAGATGTTGGCATTATTGACGATTGCAGGGGGAGCGTGTGTGAGTATAGTGCAGCAGTAGTGTCGCCAGATTGCACTACTGTACCGGGCACTATGCAGACAACGTTAACGTTATTCCATCTGTGTCACGCGATCTTTGTGTCACCGGGAATGTTCGTGGCACTATTGAGGGACGCGCCCACTGCTGTGCGTGTACCATGTACATCGTATACTGCAGCTGCTTTTCATTAAGGAGCACCGACCGCGCTACAGCAACCGGCTGGCCCACGGGAATTGGTCGGGATTTGTGGGTGAAAGACGTGACACGTGGTGCGGGCCAACTTTTGTGTGTGTGTGTGTGTGTGTGTCTTTGTTAGCATCGACTGCGCTACAAGTATGCATATAACCAATGAAATGACGGCAGTCTCCGTGCGGCTGAAAACACCAAACAAACGCGCACGTTTTTTCTTTCTTGTCTCCTCCGCAGCTGGCCTCTCCTCTCCTGACAGATTTGTTTTTTTCGCGTTCTCGCTTGCCGTTTTTTTTTTCCTCTCCCTCTTGTGGCGCAGCCGGTGATTATGACTCGGTCACCTGTCGCGCTTACGGACGCACCGTTGGGGGGGGGGCGCGATTCGGGCCCGGCGGACTTGGGTACGTACAATATTTCCGACCTGTCTTTGTCCATTGCGTAGGAGTCTTGCTTACTTCGAATTTGGGGTGCGTACGAGATTTCCGGCCCGTTTAGGGTCCATTGCGTGGAAGTCTTGCTTGCTTCGGACTTGGGTACGTAAGATATTTCCGGCCTGTTTTGGGTCCATTGCGGAGGAGTCTTGCTTGGGGCTTTTTTGTTTCCACGTCATGCATCTAGGAGAGAAAAGACGCGTGTGTGTGTTTATTATTTTTTTCTACAATGACACACTAGATCCATATCTATCCACAACTTTTAAGAGTGCGGGATGGATCAGCAATAGATCAGCAAATGAATCAAGCGTTGAGCGGACACTCTTGTCTGTATTTGTAACCGCCGGATTCCCCTACACGACACATTCTTCAGAAGAAGGCAACGGCGATAGCGGCGACGGAGGAGACGCTGGTACAATTGCTGCCATCGCCACGGCCGCCATCCTCATCCCTGGCTTCGTCCTCGTCGGCCTCTTCTGCTGCTACCGCCGCCGCAAGCGGAAAGAGGGAGAATTGAAACGGCCATCGGCCGCCGTTGGCGCGGGTTCAGGCGGCGAGTCTGGGCGGGAGTTCGGCCGAGAGGGTGAGTTTATTTTTTTTTTTGCGTCGTGTCGTTTGTTGTCGATGTCTTCGGTCTGTTTGGCCCCACTCAGCCCAATTTTATCGCGAGAAGAGCTCCTCCCCTCCTTCCCTCGGTGAGATTGAAAACCTTTTCATCATGGTAAACATTGCCATGGAAAGATCTATCATCACATACACACGTACGAAGAGCACTGCCGCGAAGTTGCTGGCGCGTCGCAGTGGTCACGTCTTGTTCTTCTCAGTCCTGTGATGGCATTTATCTGTTTGCCGGCGCTCGCAGTGTATTCTTGGTCCTACCCTACAGCCTCGATCCTCTCTTTCATCTATCAGTGTAAGGCCATCGAGAGCCGAGTCGCGATAAAAGATTGCTGCCCGCTCCTTCTATGCATTAGCATGCATAATTGCATCCTTTCGACCTGTGAGGTGCCAAACGAGCCTCCAACAAACTCCGCCTCTTCTTTTTGCGCGATGCATGTTGCTCCTATGCCGACTGTATGTGGGATCTTTGTTGTTGTTCCGGCCTTTGCCCCCCCCCTCCCCCACGATGATTGTTCTTCTTACGGACGCAAGACTCGTTCACCTCCTCAGAAAACAACGTGGAAGCCAACGGCGAAGGGCCCACAGACACGCTAGCGAACAAGCCCCTCGTGAAACCCCACGCGCTGCAGTCCACGGCGCCGATGACGGGCGGACAGCAAGCAGGCGGCGAGGCCGCTACCGCTGCCACCGCCGCCACCGTTGGAGACTCCGCCGAAGGCCTGCCGAGACCGCCTACCGCGGCCGCGGTCATGGCCCCAGGAGCCGCGATACCGGCCGGTACCCCCGCCGCAGGAACAGCAGGTGGCGACGATGATGACTCTTCACGGTCAGACCTCGAAAATCCAGGCAGGCTTCGGAGGACCGGGTCGAACTCGTCGATCAGCACCCTTGGGTCCACGTCGACGGCGTCGTCGACGTGGCCGAACGACGGCTTCGTTACCCCGGCGCGGAATAACATCCCGCGGGGAGCCGGCGGCGGACGGTACGGGTTGGGCGGGATCGGGGGGAAGGGGGGGGAGGGGCTGCCGCCCGGGTACAAGACGCCCGGGAACCTGTCCGCTGCCACGCCCAACAGGGAGATGACGATCCCGGAGACGCCGTCGCCGCGGTCGGTGTCCAGCTCCGTGCACGGAACGCCTGCGGTACGTGTGTACTACGACGTTTGGTGTTGCTACGGGTGTGTCGGTCTGTTGAGTATTGGCATCGGCCGCGCTACGTAACCGACTGATGAGGAGAAAAGGCGCCCAGTGTGTTTGTGTATTTTGAGTTGTAGCATCGGCCGCGTTAGCCGGCTCACCAGTGACAACACGTCAATGTTTAAGCGGCTGAAAAACGGAGAAAGCTTCTGCAGGCCGTGATTTTTGACCACGTGAGGGGGGAGTCGTGGCTGTGTCCGTGTCGTGTTTCTTCACTTGGTACGAGTGGGTGCTTGTCTTCGTGCGGGAGGAAGGGTTGGACTCTCTCCTTCGACCCCCCTCGTACGATGTTTCCACGCACAACGCTGACCCTGGAAACATAAACCCCGTACGCCCTTTGTTTTCTCAATAATAAAACGCCCCTTCCCTCCGCCATCAAAACAGCCACCCGGCATGAGGATCGCACAGTTCCTAAGGGTGGGCGGGGGCGGCGGCGACACGAGCCTTTACGGCCTCCCCGAGATGGAGATCGGCCGATCCACGAGCAACCTCTACGAGAGCAATCCTTCCGGGAGCAGCTGGCCAGTGGGCAGCAAGGGCGGAGCTCCCCCGACCGCCGCCTCTATCGCCGCCGCTGCCGCCGCGACCGGTTCCGCCCAGCCGACGCCCGGCGACGGCGCGAATCCTTCGCCGATCAACAATGCGACTGCTACCTCGCCGACCGCGGAACTCGATACCGGCGGCCGTATGTCTAACCGCTCGAGCCGGACGGCCGGCGCGTCCCCGACAACGTGGGGGGCGGGCGGGGCGTGGGGGGACAGGGAGGGCGGGGGGGGCATGGGAGCGGAGGCCGCGGCGCAGGCGTTTACGGAGGAGGCGGAGCTGGAGGCCCTGCAGATCGACAAGAACGACCTCAAGCTCGTGTTCGGGCGACCGTTCGCGAGAGGGAAGTCCTCGGAGGTGTATCAGGTCACCCACGCCGGCAAGAACCGAGCCGCCAAGGTTCGTTGCTTGTTTTTTTTTGTCTTAACTTCGAATCAGCGCTCACGAGGACGTATGCGGTTTATTCCAACCAGTGGTCACAGAGGGTTTCCCCCTACCCGCCCCTCCTGCGGTACTTTGCCTTTGATTGTAATGCGACAAGAGTTTGTCTTGACGTTAAGAACCGTTCCGATCTTCGGTCGCTACCTTCAAATGTCCGACTCTACTGTAGGTAGCATCGACGGCGGACCATTTATATGGCGTCAAGTCTCGGTGCAGCTGAAGAACGAAAAACGTTTTTGTGTGCCCTTGTTGTTAGCATCGACGCCTGACCTTTGAAATGAAGTCCAGTCTCAAGTGTGGCTGAAATCAGAAAGTACTTGTAGAGGGCATGGTCTGGTCTGGGACCGCGTGTGTGCATGGTGGAACATATGATGCGATCACCATCTGTGCAGCAAAATTCAGGCCAGCCACGCTAGTACCTAACATCATGTTGTGAACTTGTCCGTACTGACTAATTTTTGTTTTGTTTTGCGTGTCCTGCGTCGGCGATGTTGTCGGTCCGACTCGACTTGGTGCTTCTATTGAAAGAAATAAGTGAGGGCCATGAAAACCTAACAAACCCTAAAAATAACGACCAGATCATCGACCTCCTCTCGCTGGATGATCAAGTTAGAATGATGGGCTATGAAAACCTAACTAGCCAACCGTTACCCTCACCCTGGCCGTCAGATCATCCACCTCTTCTCGCTGGATGAAATTATGGACCACGGAGGCCTAATAGAGCTTGCCCGAACCCTAACCCTAACCCTATCCCTTACCTGAACCCTCACCATTTTCAGATCATCGACCTCTTCTCGCTGGGCGTCGTCGGCGAGGAGGTGACTCGCCTATACGAGGCCTTCGCGCAAGAGCTAAGAGCGATGAAGGGCATTCGCCACGAATGGTGAGCGGTCATACGTTGCCGAATGAACACCACGGTAGCGAGTTGACACAAGGACTACTAGCAGAAGCGCGGTGGCGCCATGACGCCCACAACGCACCCCAGCTGAACACATGATTCGGTGTTTTAAGTATTATACCAGACTCTTCTCCGTCTTTGCGCCTCCTTTTCCCGCTTCTTTTCCGTTGGAACCCCATTGAACAAAAATAGTGTGGCGGCTGTTTACGGCGCGGTTGCGACGCCGTCGGAGCTGACGATCGTGACGGACCTGGTGAAGAGAGGGCCGCTGAGGACACTCCTCACCGACAAGAAAAAACGAGAGGGGCTCACGCCCGCCATCCGACACAAGATCATCAAGGACGTGGCGAGCGGCATGGGCTACCTCTATGAGCAGGGGCTGCAGCACCGGAACCTCCACAGCCACAACGTGCTCGTCACCAAGGAGTGGGGGGCCAAGGTGCGGGAAAAAAAAAAAAAAAAACACACACAAACACACACACATGCGGTGAAGTGGCGTGTCCGCCCTGCTTGGCTGTCACACTTGTTGTTACATGCCTCATGTTTGACAATACAATCGGTTTTGTTTTCGACGGGCGAATAATCTCGCGTTTTTGCCGGATTTTTTGTTTGCACACCGGAAAGAATGCCTCTTCTCATACCGCTCCCTGCCTGCCGTCGTCCCCATAACGCCCAAGCTCCTCTCACGGCAACTCACTCTCTCCCCCCACGATCCCCACGATCCCCACGATCCCTCCTGCGGCCGGTGTCGTCTGTGGTTCCTCCCTGCAGGTGGCCGACTACGGCTTGGCTCGCACTAGCGAGGTTATGCTGGGAGCACACGACCGTGCCAAAAGAAAGTCGAAGTCCCGGTCGCGGCCGCCGCCCCCCAAAGTCGGCGCCCTTCGGTGGATGGCGCCGGAGCTGTTGCAGGCTTCCGCAGACAGATCTGCGGACTTGTTCACGGAGGCTAGCGACGTCTACAGGTGTGTGTGTGTGTGTGTGTGGACCACTTACGTCTGCTGATTCTTACCCCTCCCCCCCCCCCCCCCCCCCCCCCCCCCCCCCCCCCCCC